AGCTGTATTTTGTGCGAACGATATAAATCATAATGTGATTTTGTAGAAATAAAAGAAAAAAAAAAAAAAAAAAAAAAAAAAAAAAAGTTCCGTGAATGATGTATAAATTATGTGTTTGTGCTGACATTTTGAGAACATTATTAAAAAACATTTAAGACAGATAAGGACATTTGTTCATAACTTTGAAAGAACCAGAATGTTCTGAGAATGTTCCCTGTTTGCTGGGATGTCTCCTCAGATCTCAACAATGTCTCTAACTGTGCTCAGATTTGCTCAAGATATCAACGTCTGCAAAAGTCAGAGATCTCAATATGAACTCAAACTATACCAGCTAGTGACTCATTTTAGGACTTGACACTTAACCGAAACACACCCAAGACTTAATAAATTTCACAAGTTTGCATTTACATATAATCAGATTGAGCGAATAGTAAGCATATTTGGCATGCTGTCACAGAGGGGAGGGTTCCGAGCTCCCCAAGCTGGGACAAGAATAGCTAGGAGTGAGGAGTTGGGGTGAAGGAGGGGTACCAGAAAAACTGTTGTGGGACAGAGGTAAGTTGGCTGGTACTATTTACTATCATGCTAATAGCTTGTTTGCACTTGATTCTGATGACGCGCGAAATTCAGATGGAGGGCAGGAAGTGAAAAGCAGAATGGATGAGATGGAGGAAAGTCTGTACTGTACTGGTTTAGACTATTACAAGAGAAAGGTATAAACACAAAATCACAACCTGTGTTGGACGTGATCCTTATGTTATGAAGAGGAGTGATTTTTCAACTAAAATGAAATACTTGCCAACTAACCCAGATTGCAAACAAGCTATTCGACAGTGAATCCCGCATTTATATGAGGGATGCGGGATGTATGCCACTCCTGAAACTTTGTTGCATGTACAGAGTATGTGGCCGTTTGTCCTGTTAGCAGCACGTAAAACAAACTCTGAATTGATTATAGCCTAGAGCAAATAGCGCTTACATATAATCACTAAAAAGCTGTCACTCACTTAAATTTATCGCAATCTCACAATGTTCTGTTATAATCAATGAAGCTTCTTTAAACTGCACATAAAATATCTTATTTACATAGTGTCTACGTGTGGCATTTAGCATTGAGTGAATTCTGACTGACTCATGCCGAATGCGTGAGAGTTGGCAGCCCTGTATCTATTTTCTTTATTAATATCTTAATATATTATTTTATCTTATATTAACCATTTGCACACACAAGCATTATCCAACTTGGCTCCTCCCGACCACAGACAAAGACTTACAAGCCGCTTTTTCCTGTGTTTTTCAGTCAATTTCTTGCATTTCCCCCCCTTTTGAACAACACATTTTCATACACGATAAAAGCTCCTTGTGGTTTCTCGGTTTGACCGATTTGAGCATCCTTAAACAACGCTGTCACAGTCTTCAGCTGGTGTGCCCAGGATGGCCACCAGAGGACACTGTGTGTTTTGTGTAAGCACATGTCTTGTGTTGTGATTGTTTGGTGCCATGTGCTTTCTCCTGTCGATTGTCTGATACCAACCATCTTGTTACCTCATTATTGTTTCAGTTATTCCACCTGTGTCTCCCTCGTTACCTGCCCTACTTAGTCCCCTTGTGTTTGCAGTCCTGTGCTGTTTCGTTATTTGTTGTATGTGGTTTAATATGTCTGTGTGCTCCTTGTTTTAGCCTGTTCCTGTGTGGCCTTCCCTTGCCTTGCCAAGCTGTGCCCTTTTCTGGCCTTCCTGTTGGTTTTCCCCCTTGGGGTAGCTTTTGTTAGTTTTGTTTATTTTTATTATTAATAAAGAGCCCGATTACTGCATCTTTGAGTCCTCGCCTCATCTCTCCACACGGACAGTGACAAACGCAAAATATAGGCATTTTGAGTTTCTGCTAGCGATTCCTATACAGAAAAATCACTTCCTGTCCTCCAGCTGCATTTCT